CTAATCAGTGAGTTCCAGGTGCAGGGAGAGACGTTGCCTCAACAGAGGAGGTGGGGAGCAATCACGAAAGACACCCGATGGTGGCTGGCCTCTGGCTTCCACACAGGTGTACGTACACATAGATCTCGCACAAAAGTTTTTTGTTATTCTATTATTCGGTTATTGTGTGTTGTCTGGGTGTGTGCATGCCACACAGTGCATGCGTAGAGGTGAGAGGAGAACTTTGGGGAGTCAGTTTTCTCCTCCCACTGTGGGGTCCAGGGATTAAATTTGGGTTGTTCAGTTAGAGAGCGCTTCTACCCACTAAACTATCCTGCTGGCCCCAGTTTGTTGGGGGGACGGTACAGCTCTCACCATGTAGTCTAGGATGTCCTGGAACTTGCTATGTAGACCAAGCTGGCCTCAAGCTCACAGAGATTACTTGCCTCTGCCTTCCCAGTGCTGGGTCAAAAGGCATAAAACACCACACCTCATTCCCCAATTTTTTAAAATAAAAACCCAAACAAAGGCAAACAAAACAAAGGCCCACCAAGGGAGCTGCTGGTGCCTCCTGGTAGGCTGACACAAGGAGACCTCAGCATCACTCTGACTGTGCTCCACAAAGATACAGAATCTGAATCAAACAAAAGAATACGAGACAAGTCAAGATTCATCCACAAGATAACTAGCCTGGAGTCACAAAAAAGAAAAAAAAAAGAAAGAAAGAAGAAAGAAAAGCCAGTATCACAGAAAATAAAGAAATCCTGAAGAACTGTGCCAGACTTATAAAAACTCCAATAAAAGTCACACAGCTCAATGCAACACAGAAGGCAGGGCTTGCTTTTGATGCAAAGGATGTCATTACGAAAATTGATCAAAGCAGAAATAAGTCTATGGTTTATTTCAAAGTGTAGCCATGTTTATTTCCTGATTGAGCATTGCACTCCTAAAAGAGAAGGTCTTTGCTCCTAGAAAATACATACGGACTTTTTTAAAGGGAAAGTACTAAGTGTCGTGGCGCCTGCTTTTAGTCCAACGCTCAGGAGGCAGAGACAGGCAGCTCTCTGTGATTTTGACCAATCTGGTGTACACTATTGTGGAGAGTAGACCAGCGCAGATTGATGTAGAGTTCCGGAATAATCAGGGCTGCATAGAGACCCTGTCTCAAAACAAATGAAAGTGTGGTAAAATATTAACACCTAGGAAATCTAGGTGAAGAGTGTGTGAGAAGAATTTGTAATAATTTTGCCACTTTTATGTAAGTCTAAAACTGTGTGCAATAACAAATCAATAGAGAGTAAAATGTTATCAGGCTCCGTGAGTAAAGCACTTGCCATGTGAGTGCGAGGACCCAATTGGGATCTTCAGAGCCCACACAAACCCAGGCTCAGTAGTATGTGTTTGCAATCCTCGAGCTCCTATGAGATGGAGGGCCAAGGCAGGAGAATTCCGGGAAGTTGAGGGCCAACTACCCTGACATACACAGCAGCAGACAATAAGAGGTTCTGCCAGAACAAGGGGGAAGGCAAGAATTGACACCAGAGTTGGTTCACACACACACACACACCACATACACACACATGAGACAGAGAAAGAACTGGCACTAGAGAAGAGGACAAAGAGAAGAGAGGAGAGGAGGGGAGAGAAAGGAAGTGGAGGGGAGGGGAGAGTGAAGAGGAGGGGAGGGGAGGAGAGAGAGGAGAAGGGGAGACAAGACAGGAGGGGAGGGGAAGGGAATGGAGGGGAAGGGAGAGGAGAGGAGAGTAGAAGGGAGGGGAGGGGAGGGGAAAGAGAAGAAAGAGAAGAAAAGTTTAAAAATCAGCACCTGGTTCTTCCAAGCTCAGATCTGGACTTTGTCTCACTTGATGTCACTCTTCATCTGCCCAAGGCAGTCCCCTCTCCTATTGTGGCTCCTTCACTAATGGCACATCAACAATTGCCTAACATTTCTCTGTTCCTCCTATATTCTCAGCAGCATTAGGTTTATGCCTGCACCATGCCACTCGGGTTTCACATGAGGGGAAAAATCAACATGCCCAACTCACACTGTAGTTGAGAATGACCTTGCACTTCTGGTCCTCCTGTCTCTACTTCCCAAGTGTAAGCCACATCTTTTCAACTATGCCTGGTTTTATTCGGTATTTCTGATCAGACCTAGGACTTTGTATCTGCTAAACAAGCCTTCTATCAACTAAGCTACATCCCTAGCCTCCAAAAAACTTCTTGTGAGATATCCCCCATCCCTCGTTCATCTCAGTGTGTCACCCTACCATCCAACTTAGTGCCTGAGCCTTGGGCTTGTCCTGCACACCTTTCTTGTCTTTACTGCCCAACTAATCACCAAGTCATTTTGGGGAATTTCTAAGTCCCGAAAAGTCAGGCTCCTATATATTAGTCACCCCTGTGTCACCAGTGCCCCCCTCCAGCATAGTGCTTGGCACCTGGTCTACAATTAAGAAATCTTTCTTGAGAGAGGGGTGATGAATCTGTTGATAAAGTACCTGCCACAGACTCAGGAGTGCCTGTGTTCAGATCCCCAGCACCCGGTAAAAGCCAGGGACGACTGCACACCTCTACAACTCCAGCGCCCAGGAGCAGCGGCTGAGAGCAGAGAGAGGCAGATAGGAGCACTTTGTCCAGTCGGTCTAATCAATGAAGTCCAGGTTCAGGGACGAGATCCTGTGCAAAGGGGGGGGGGGGGGGACTGGAGTACAGCTCAATGGTTAAACTCTTCCAAAGGACCTGAGTTCAGTTGACAGCACCCATGCCACTGACTCCCAACTGCCTGTAATTTCAGTTGCAGCAGATCTGACATCTTCTGGCCTCTACCAGCACCTTCACACATGTGGCACACACACACACACACACACACACACACACACACACACACACAAAGAATAATAAGGAAGCTAATGTGAAGGACTGGCTAGACAGCTCGGCAGGTAATGGCACTTGCCACCAAGACTGAAGATCTAAATTAAAGCCCTGAGACCCAAGTGGTAGGAGAGAAATAATGCCCGAGAGTAGCCTCTGACTGTCACTCGTGTGCTGTCACATGTATTTGTACACACACAGAAATTAAAAATAAGACGTACAGCAATTAAGGAAGACACCTGACATTGCTCTGTTCTCAACATGCATGTGCACAAACATACACACATACCACACACACGTTCCCACATATACACTCACATAAACACATGAATATACAACATGTATACATCCTGAAAGAAAAAATCTGGGGCTGGAGAGATGGTTCAGCGGTTAAGAGCACTTATTTTTCTTCCAGAGGTCCTGAGTTCAATTCCCAGCCACCACATGGTGGCTCACAACCACCTGTAATAAAATCTGGTGCCAATTTCTGGCCTGCAGGGACACATGCAGGTAAAACATTGTATACATAATAAATAAATAAATCTTTTAAAAATTTAAAAAAAAGAAAAGAAACCCTTTGAGGGGCTGAATGTGCAGCTCAGGCAGGACTAGGTGGACAAGCCTGAGTTCAGTCCTCAGCAGAGGAGATTTGAGTACGTGAATTCTTTAGCCCACTGGTTGGTCAGAAGAGTGCCACTCTACCAGCAGGAGCAGAGCATCCTTTCTGAATGCAGACACAGGACCATCTCCCTTACTGGCCCACCCTTGGCAGGCAGCTATGCAGTATTACACTCATTATCTACTGTCACAAAATACAGGGCGCTTACCACAGCAGTCTCCTGTCTCACACAGGACCTGGGCTTTAAGAATTTGGAAGAAATCTGGCTGGAGATTCTGGTTCTAGAGCTCTTGGGAGGGGGGAGTCAAGATAGCAGCAGAGCCCACAGTCATCAAAAAATGTACTCGGAGAGCTGGCAGATCCAGACATACCCAAAGATGGCATGTCCTCATAACAGGTGAGTTGGTTCTGGTGGTTAGTGAGAGGCCTCATCTCCACCCCACATGGCCTTCCACAGGACACTTACCTGTCCTTGTTCGTGGAATGGCCACTCACAGCGAGTGATTAGAGGCAGCACAGCAGAAGCCACTATGCCACTGTGACCTTGCCTTGGAGTCTGCACCATCCTTTCTGCCCTGCCTTCCTGGGTGCACAGGGCAGCTCTATTCATCCAGGGCAGGGGCTGCACCAGAATGGAAACACCAGCAGATGGAGACCACTGGGGGCATCTCATGGACTGGCTACTGTGAAGTTGTGTGTGTGGGTTTTACATGCATGTATGTGCTGGTGTGTTTGCCTGGGCTTGTGGAGGCCAGAGGTTAATGTGAGCTGTCTTTCTCTAACACTTTCAAACTTATTCTTTTTAGAGATTTATTTTATTTTTAATCCTACATATGTTTATCTTTCTGAGTGTGTTTGCCTTTGCCATATGTAGTAAGGGAGTGCCTAGGAAGCCAGAGACATCAGATCCCTGGAGCTGGGGGTTCAGGCAGTTGTAAATTGCTTGGTACAGCTGGGCAGTGGTGGCGCACGCCTTTAATCCCAGCACTTAGGAGGCAGAGGCAGGCGGATCTCTGTAAGTTCGAGGCCAGCCTGGTCTACAAAAGCTAGCACCGGGACAGGCTCCAAAGCTACAGAGAAACCCTGTCTCAGGGGCGGAAAAAGTTACCTGATGTGGATGCTGGGAATTGAACTCAGATCCTCTGAAAGAGTGATGCACATTCTTATCAGCTAAGCCATCTCTCCAGACCTCTCTCCACCTTATTTTTGAGACAGAGTCTTTCACCAAATGCAGAGCTCCCAGTTTTAAAACAAACTGGCTAGCCAACAAACTCCCAGAAACTGCCTATATCTACCTCCCAGATCTGGGATTACAGGCTAGGTCATTCTTAGCTTTCTGCATGGGTACCGCGGATAAAAACTCAGGTCCTCACATGCACTCAGTCTTCTCCCCGGCTCCTCCAGGAGGATTTTCACTAGGACAAGTAGTCAATGCACCAGGAATGGCCACAGCCCAGGCTGTGCAGGTTTGTGTAGCGTACAAGCTCCAGACAGGGTGTAGCCCCACCAGCTTGCTCCAGGTCCCTCTCCTAAAGGAATCCTGAAAGTCATAAACAAAGAGTGAGGCGCTCCAGGCTCTGCCCTTGGGTTTGCAAAGCCTCCCTGTCTCAGCGAGAGACCATCAGCCCAGGATTATGGTGGCTCTGTACAGAGGAGGGGAAAGCACAGATAGGTGACGTGACTCATCCAAGGCACACAGAAAAGGGTTGGCAAGACCCTGCTGCTGGCTCCTCACCCCACATTCTTTCCATTGCCCTACCCGGGCCGCCAGCTCAGACCCACATCTAAAGCCGTTGCAAGTGTTGGTCCCAGGCCCAAGCAGGTATTTCTCATCCTTCCAAGAAACCCAGCCGAACCCCTCAAAGGTGCCCAACGCATGCCGGACCCTGAGCGAGTACACGCACAGATTTTCCACCTAGCTGGGGCCCATTCAGCCCCCCTCCCAGAGGCTGTCTCTGCAGGTGGTCACTGTCCATCAGAACAGCACAGCAAGGGCTAACAGCATACAGCACAGCAAGGGTTAACAGCATGAACTAATATTTAGAAATAGCACATCCCAGAGGAGTCAGCTGTGGCCAGCTGGTCACAACCACTGAAGCCACAGCCTTTGTGGACATGGTATGGCAGGGGGAGAGCCTGCTCTGGGGAACCTGAGAGGCCCTGAGAGGGTAGACCACTTCTGTCCCCACCCCATAGCCCCAAATATGGCATAGGCGTGGCCCAGAGCCCCCCTCCCAGGGATTGGACAAGCAATGTTTCCCATTGGCCTCCCATCCACAACCTTGCTCCCAAAGCAGCAAAGACAACTTTTCAGCTTCTGAATTGTGTAATTGTTGGGACTAACTGCTCCTGCCCGCTGGAGTCTGGCTGCCTGCACTTGGAGGAGCCCCACCAGCTCCTGGGCCAGAAGCCGGAGCAAGACCACTCCTAACAGAGGCTTCGCCTGAGGCTCTGCAGAGGAGTTCCTGATTATGAAACTACAGAGCCAAGGAACCAATACCTAAAGCCCATGTCCCCTTGCACAGGGTAGTCTGTGCTCTGTGTCCTTCATGGCAGAGGGCCAATTCCCTAAGGGCAGGGCCCAGTTGAAGCACAGCGCGGCACAGACACCGCCCCTTTGAGGGCACAAGCACACGCCATTTACCAGCAGGCTGGCTTTGGCCACAGGCTCCTTGGGTGGAGCCAGTTGGTCAGGGTGCATAACACCCAGGCTGAGGGCAGGGTGGGGCTGCAGCCATTCCCAGCGCTGGCATGCTTAGTCCCAGATGCACTGGGGATGGGGGACAGTAAAAGTAACCAAAAGAGCTTGGCCAATCTGCAGGGCTAAACATTGGTGGGGAGTAGAAGTCGTTAGGTGTCTGTTGTCTCGTTCCCCTAGAGTTCTTAGGGAAACAGAGACATATACTACAGATCATTGAAACTTCAGAGAATTTGTAACCCTCTGACTTACATTATAGGTGGAACGTTCTGAGCCATCCTCTTTCCTTGTCTGCTTGGGTGTCCTGTCCTGTGAAAAAGGTGTCACTGTAGGGGGTGGGAAAAGCACTGAGTTACCCTCGCATCCCATCAGTCTAACTAGAGAGAAGACTCTATGGAGTCTACACAGAAAGCTCAGTGTGGGGAAAAGAGGCCAGAGAGGGCTTCCTGAGGGGAAAAGATGTGACCAAGGAGGTAGGGGCAACAGAAGCTGCCTGTGGATGTCTGGTCAGCCCAACTCGAGGAAAGTCATGGCAAAGGTTAGCAGGCAGAATGGAGGCAAAAGTCAACCTTGAGAATGCCAGGGAGGTTTGGGTCAGCTCTGCTCAGGACAGGCATGCCCTAGAGGCTGGGGTGAGGACAACGGAAGAGCTGGCATTAGCCACATCCAAGAGCACAGCTCTGAGTCAGTGGGAGATGATTAGCCTTTCTAAAGCTTCAGTCCAGGGTTCAAGTCTCATGCTACAGACTAACAGAGGTCAAACCTGTCTGCCCAGAGCCCCAGTGACCCTTCAGCTTCAGAGCCGCAGCTTTCTCTTTCATCTGAAAACAGACTTATTTCCAAAGGTGTCAAGATCTCAGGTGAATAATTCTTAATCTCTCTCCCACACCCTCCACCCCAGGAACTAACTTTGTAGTTGCAAATGACTTGCATTTCCGATTCTCCTACTTCTACCCCAGTGTTAGGATTAAAGGCTTATGTCACCATATCCAGTTTTTTTTTAATGAATTTTATTTTGTGCGTATTTACGTGAATGTATGACGTGTATGCAGGTACCCATGGAGACTATAAGATTATCAGAGACGCTGGAGCTGGAGGTACAGTTAGTTGTGAGCCACTCAATTCGAGTGCTGGGAATCAACTCAGGTCCTCTGCAAGGGCAGAAAGGACTCTTAATTGCTGAGCTATCTCTTTAGTCCCGTGCCCAGTTTTTATGCTGTGTTGCAGAGCAATCCCAGGGCTTTTATATGCTGGACAGGAACTCTACCAATAAAACTACATCTCCCTCCCCACCATCCCAGTTATAAAGGTTGAATCTAGGGCCTTGTGTATGCTAGACAAGTGTTCTACCGCCTAGTTATTTCCCTTGGTGAGTGCTGTACAAACTGGGAACCCCCAGGAGAGATGTACAAGCTGGGTCATGAACGCAGTGCCTGCTGCATTCTTCTTCGGGTCTGTGTCTCCCAGCCCCAACTGGGGCTGGGGAAGGCTCTGAGCTCATCCTGTCTTAAATCTCAGCCTTGAGATGGGCAGCAGCTACTTGTCTGAAGGATCCCCAGGCAAATGATTCCTGGTGGGGGAGGGGGGCAACGAAATCTGTGGGTAGGGGCCAAGCAAGATGGGAGAAGACGGGCGGTGTGGGACCAGTGCGAACCTCCCCTCAAGTTTCTAATTCATAAAAAGGCAGACACCTCCTTTCCCTTTCATTCTTAAAACTCTTTTCCCTGAACATTCCCAGAAGCCTCGGCTCCCCAACCCTGGATCCATATTTGGACAGTAATTGGCCCCTGATGAGGACCAAGTGCCTGGCTGACTCAGAAAAGGAAAACAAGAGAGGAGGACTCAAGGCCTCACCTACCTAGGGTGCCTGGATAGTTCTTAAGTTTGTCAAAGTCCCTGTAAAATAGTAACAAATAGCACCTTAGCCAGTTTTAGCGGATACTTATTGAACACCTACTATACACAAACAACTGCCTCTTGAGGGGAAAGTTGAAGGTTCACAGAGGATACTCCATGGGGTCGGGGGAGGTGAGTAAGTTGTATACAAACTGTGAAGTGCTGGAATGTACAGAATGAAAAGGGGATACAAGACAAATAGATGCACCTACTGTATGCCAGCCCCTGGGGTAGGCATTTGAAACATACTAAAACACTTAATCCTTATAAATTCACACTAGCCCAGACCAACTTACTCACCCCTTTCATCTCGCTCAGCCTCAGATTCTCCATTCGTGGGGCTGGGTTCTGTGGAAAGTTATGAAATGTACTCGATCTGACTGCTGCTTGGGGACAAGGATTGGGACGAGGGTGTACAGTGGAGCGTGGGCTGCAGCAAGGAACCCAGCGGAGGGACATGTGTGACAGAGGAGAGGTACAGGGGTACCTTCGGACACTGGAGAAACCTAAGCCGGGTCCCGTTGCAGCTGGGGCTGGCGAAACACAGGCACTGGGAAAGGCCACAATACTCCGCTTTTTCCAGCTCTTGGTTGGGACTAGGCAGGCTTTTGCCTGGGATGGAGCCAGGAGGAGAAGGCCCCAGCCTGAAGCTGTTAGGTAGGAGCTAAATCCAGGGCCAGATTTCCAGGAGGCAGTGGGGCGAGGGAAAACACCCAGATTCTTAGGTCAAGAGGCCTGTGCTCCTGGCAGGAAAGGCCAGGCACCTGCCTTTGACCCTGAACTCTGAGCTGGGCTCCTCCTAGACAGAATGAGGGAAGGGTGCTCAACCCCCGCCTTGAGGGTTGTTTTGAAACATATGTTATGATCGGACTGAGCTAACCGTAGGGTCGAGATCCGTAGTCTTTACAGGCAGAGAAAGTACAGTTTGTTGAAAGAGGAGACCAAACTCAGGGTCCTGTCTAGCGGTCCGCTCAGTGGAATCCTCAGAGTCCTGTGACGGTGGGGGCAGCTAAACCCTCACCATTCCCTCAAGGGCAGAAGAGGACTTGCAGCTCACACTTCCTTTCCCATTCTTAAGCGATTCCTGCCCACAGTGTTCTGGGGGGTCTAAAGTCTCAGACACTTTGTCCCAAATCCTTAAAACAGGGCATGAGTCTGCCTTCGCGGTAAAAGTTCTTCAACCCTGACCGAGAGCAGGAGCCCAGAACGGCCCCTTTAAGAAGGTTGGGGGTGGGAGCAGACATCGGGAACCCCCGCCCGAAAAGCAAGCGCGGGTCGGCGCCTGCCCCGCCCCCGGAGTTAAGTACCGGACAGCCCTTGCCTCCTAGCCCGCGCGAGGAGCCCTGCTCCCTCGACTTACGACTGGAGACTCGCTGCTGTCCAGACTCGGCACGCTCTGTTCCCTAGCCTTTCAAGTCCAGACACCCAGCCCGCCGCGATGCTTCTCGGCCCAGGACACCCGCTGTCAGCTCCAGCCCTGACCCTGGCTCTTACTTTGGCCCTGCTGGTTAGATCTGCATCTCCCGGTGAGTGAGGGGCTGAGACCCTGACCCAGCCTAGGGGATCTATGTGGAGACTGCACTCACAGGCCAGGATCAAGAGTCCAAGGGCCCGTACTTCTTCCCCAACCTGAGGGTCTGGGAGAAAAGCTTTGATCTCTGTTTATCGGGACTCCAGCTATCCCAGGTTGTCTGACTTTCTTGACCCTAGAAAGTCAGACCCGAGGAAAGGGGCCCCTGGAGTCAGATTGCCAAGGGCGTGGTTCTGCCCACCCAGATTGTCCGGGTCACTCAGGCCACCTCAGTGCTATCCAATCTCTTTGCCAGACAGGTTTGGGGTGACCCTAGCGGTACTTAAAGAGCACCCAGTGGCAGTAATAAGTGGGCATCCTGAACACAGATACCCTGAGCCAGAAACGGGGAGTGTTGTGCGGTGGGAAGTGAAGAGGAGGCTTCATGCACAAAACCCTGTGTGTACCCAGCACACCTCTGCCATGGCCTCCTCTCAGTGCCTAGCCTCTGGACCCTTTCATAGCTCTGCACCCCGCCTTTCATGCCAGGGCTGGCTGGCTTCTGCCTCTACCTACACCCACCCTTATGTCTTTTTCCCCCCATCACTGCTTTCCTCACTGAAAGGACCTGGTTGGTGACAGACAGAACCACCCCCTCTTCAGGTCCCAGAGTCAAGGCTTCTACCCCTCAGATATCTCAGCCCTGGGGCACCCCATGCCACACCCCCTGTCCCTAGCTGTGGTGCCTGACCAGCAGACTGAATGGAAGTGTACCTTCTGAGAGGTGCTAGTGCACCCCGCCTCTGTCACAGAGCCAGGAACTCCAGCATTACAGCATTCTTCCTTTGCTGTAGACGAGGGCTGAGGTGCCATGAGATCTGCAGCCTCAGGGCCCATCAGTCACCACTACCCATGTATGAATCAGGCCTTCAGCCTACCTCCTTCAGGACCATTTCCAAGGGCAACTAAGAGCAGAGAAGGAACTCGAGTCTCCCTTCCAGGGACCCAGGCCACACCCTTTTCATCCGATGGGGGAAACCAGCTCTGAAGAAGGGGATCACAAGGCACCCCGAAGGGAATGAGTCAGAGAGGGACCCCCTGCACTAACGTGACTCATGGGTAGATACAGGCTCACCATTTCTGCTTCACAGACTTTGCTTTCTAAAATTCCACAACCCTGGTGGCGAACAGAGCTGAGAGACCTGAAAAGGGAACACCTGAGGTAGCTGGGGGTTCGGCTCATCCAGGCCCCAATTTCCAGCCAAGAGGTTGTTCCCAGCAGCCCCTACCTACATGGGCTTCAACTGAGAACAATTCCCAGACATCATCTTAGCACTGACAATGTGAGACACAGCACTAGGGCTGCGCAGAGATGGGCAAGCTGAACCAGGGTGTGGCATTGCATGCCTGCAATGCCAGCACTGGGGAGGCTGAAGTTAAAGGATTGCACTGTGGGTTCAAGGCCAGCCTGGGCTTCAGAATGGGTTGCAGACCCGTCTCAGCTAGAGTGAGACCCTACCTCAAAGACAAACAAAAAATAAAAAAGTGCAGGGTGGAAAGGAAGAAGAGGGGTGAAAGAGAAAAGGGGGAAGACGAAGGGGGAAAATGGAGATAATTTGTGTTAATTCAGGAGTTAGAAAAATGAAGTAAAATTCAAAGAGCAGTTTCTAATTGTGTAGAGAAAGATCCACATGCAAGGTGTGGAAGAAATCAGATGCAAGATGGGTGGGCCAGCTGTCCTTGACTCGGCCCTGGAGAGTGGGAAAGGAGTCTGCACTCCTGTCTGCGGTCCTCAGCCTGGACAGGGGCAGGAGGTGGGTGTAACAGGGTGTTGAAATAGAAAGACCAGCGTGACTGGAAGGCGTATTTTGAGCACAGGACAGGAAGAGCCATTGGGCTGGGACACAGAATCCTTAAATGGCAAAATGAAGCCCATAGCCTAGGCACTGTTGGTAAGGAGAAGAGGGTACAGGTACAGCGCAGGGAGCAGCCTGGTGCCTATGCCTAACAAGAGACCATCCTGGATTCAGCAAGAATCTGAGCAGGGGGGAGGGATGAAATAGCTGATATTCTCCCCTATGCCAGACAGAGCTTCTGCATAGCACACCCAACTCTGTTACCGCAACACTGTCTAGGAGGTTTATACGTGGGAGCTGAACTCACGGCCCAATATCAGGAGTCCGGGGGAGGGGGTGGCTGTGTTTCTTCCCCAGGCTGATTTCTGTTTGTGGGGCCTCCAGCTATCCCATGCTGCCTGGCTTTCATGACCCATGGAGTCAAATTGACCAGACCCATCCTGGGCTCTGCCTGAGGAAAGTGTCACTACAACACCTCTCTTGGAGGTACTTGAGTTCTCTTGTCCCAGCCAGGGCACACTTGGGTGGCTCCCCTGCACCCTATCAGCATTCCAGAGTATCCAGGTCATGGGATCTGGAAGGCAAGTTTTCTTGGCAACCATTTGGGGCAATGTCTCAACTGTACAGACAGGAGAAATGAGCCCCCAGAGAGGAAGCCAAAGTCTAAGGCCTTTGCAGAACCCCAGATGCCCAAGAAGAGCCCAAAGGAAGAAATGGAGTCCACTTTTCTGAGCTCTGTGGGAGGCCCTCGGCAAAGGACCAGAGGCCAGGTGAAAGTGATGTCCGAAAGACAGGCTGGGAGACAGAAGGTGGCTTTCCAGTACAAGAAGGCTTGGCTCTAACTCAGCACCTGGGGTGTGTCAGGGTACAGCTCTGAGGACATTGACTCTCATACCTCTTCTCTGGTCCGGCCTTACCTGGGATATAAGGGCCTGAGGTGGGCCTACATAGCGGAAGCAGTCAGGATTATCTGGACGGGGATCTGAAGAGATGGAGCATTTAAGACAGCGGTGCTCCGGGACCCAGATACTAGAAAGAGAGTCAGAGTGGATTGATTCTGTTGGCTCGGAGAGTGATTTGCAGGGCATCAGTGGCGTGGAGACAGATGAACCTTGTGTCCGCACTGTGCGCGCTGGCCCGGATCTCTGAGGCAGGGCAGAGGCCAGGGCCTTAACCCAGCCCACCCAGACTCTAGAAAAGCTGCCCCAGAACCAAACATAACTGAGCTCCCGCTCCCAGTGTCCGCATGCCCAGGCAGGACAAGAAGAGCCTTTTAGCAGTGCCTGACTGGGGAGGGCTATGGGGGAGGGTAAGCCATGCCAGGTGGGCCAGGCTGCTGGTTGCTTGGACCAGAAGAAGAGAGGGCCACAGGGAAAGGAACAGGCATGTGTGGTGCTCACACAGGAAGTGTATAGGCTCTCTGGGAACTGGGCATGCTGCCCAGGATGGGGTAGGGGAGGGGGACTTGGATATCCCTGACGTCCATGCTTGCTTGTTCACTGGAGCACACAGATGGGGCGCGCACATGAGGACCCACAAGCGCAGGCCATGGTGGTATCTGACTGCTCTCACAGAGCGTGACAGAGGCAGTAAGGTCAGGAGTAGCTG